CCCAGCCGACACGAAGCCGCAGCCGCGTCCGCGTTGGGAGGAAACCCGGCGTGGGGGACCGCTGGCCGGCCGCTGGGGTCGGCCAGCAGGGGGCCGCCCGCGCGGGACCTGACCCCTCGGGCAGCGAGGACCAGCGCTTCTTGGTGTCTGGGTGAGAAGTGGCCGCCACGCCACCCCGGTTTGCCGTCTGCAGATAGGGTCGACATAGCGCACCAAAAAGCCGAGCGTGTTCATGTTCATGAAGTGTGGTTTTAGGTTCTTTAGAATATACGCTATTTAATACGGTCAACTCCTCGGGCACGCGAGGCCCCCAGCCCTCCGCGGCCTGCACCCAGCCCCCCGCCCCCCGCGCCCACGCCCCATTGAATGTATGAGGCACGAAATCCAATCAGAACCTTATTTTTGTACAGTTTTGAAGTTTATACGTAGCCGCTGCCCCCGGGGGCCGCCCGCCGGCCCGGGGCTGCAGTATTTTTGCATTGTGGGACCTTTCGCGTTCAGTAGTTTGAACTCTATATAAACTGTACAATCTGTAAAGTTTTTATAGGATAAATATTCAGCTGTGAAAACTGGTTAAATAAACTAATATTTCTTGACACATCGGAGCTGCCGTTTGGTCATTCGCGAGGGGTGTGAGTCCGGAACACGGCCTGGGCCTCGCCCCCGGGACTGGGGAGGGGGGCTGGGGCTGAGCCCCCGGGACTGGGGAGGGGGGCTGGGGTGTGGCAGCCCCCCCGCCCTCCCCTGGGTTTGTGCCAGTTTCCCCAATTTACACCCCCCTGTCCCCCATTTTCCTGAGAAGGCTCCCTAGGCGGCTGGCCAGCCCCGGCAGGTTGGGGTATCCCTGTGGGAGGCGAGCGGGACTCTGAGGGTCACGTGCTCCTAGCCCAGTCCCCAGGACCTGCAAGCTCCTGGGGATTTGGGGTCCCTGTCTGGGGGCATGTTCTCTGTGCCAGGGCCACGGGGGTCCCCAGAGGAGTCCGGGCATGAGGCGGGCGCCCTGGTGCCACCCAGTGGCGGGATGTAGGTGGGGCCCACAGACACGGAGCCAACTCCCCAGGATTTGACTGTTGGTGCAAGCACTGGACGCAGGCCAGGAGGTTTGAGTGCCCCGGGGACGGTGGACAGTGACGGGGGCCAGCCACTCCCTGGTCTGCCTGGGCGCTGGGGCCCTGCCTGAGAAGGGGAGCCCTGACAGCCCTGTGACACCAACACCCGGGGCAGGAGACGCCACCCTGCTGCCCCGCCGGGGGGTGGCCCTGCCCCTGCCCACACGCACGGCTGGTGATGGACACGGGCCTGGCATGGCCTCCTGCGTGGGAGTCC